TCGACACAAGCAAAAAAATACATAAAAAAAAGTCAACACGTTAACAAGTGGTAGCAGTCTGATACAGTAGGCCTATATATATTATTCTGTATTTAAAAAAAAACCAGTATATACTGTAGAAACTAAAAGTATATGTGGCAAATACAAGCCAAACCAGTCACCCGTTGCAAATCCTGTTGCGTATTGGTTGTCAAGCAATTTTGTATTCTTTACCACACCAAAAGTCATTATCAACAGCATGTATTTTGACGCGTTTTCTTTATTTCACAAACTAAACACAGTCTACTTTGATTGAGTTAGTTCGTGATGTGAGCAACGATATATGTATTCATCATGATATGCTGTTTATTTTCCCCATTTTCAATGTTGAAACAACAATTTTTAATGATTTGGTGATGCTTGAAATCATGAACTTTGAAGGCCGATTTCTCAAATATTGTTCTTTTTAAAACAGCTGTATGTTTAAACGCTTTTAATATCATAACGAAATGTCAGATTTAAATGATTCTTTTACCATTGTATAGCTCTCATTTAACTGTTTAATCCTGTATTTATAACTAATAATCAATTTTTGCAGCGAGTGGCTTGTTTAGCTTGTCTTTGCTACATATATTCTGTAACAATATGAAGTGTAAAAAAAACAGTATATAGAAACTAACAGTATAGAAACCTACTAACCTAACAAAAGATATTAAAAACAATGAAGGCAGGATTGGAGGAGACTCTTCTATGAAAAGCTATTGGTTAATTAACATAATAATAACAATAGTGGCGAGATTTGAAAATGCAAATCATCTGTGATGAAACTGATGGGTGAGCCAAATAATAACAAGGCTTAACATCTGATATTGTATTTGTAAAATAAATGGTTGACAGGGAAAAATTTAATATATCTGTCAGTATCACATAATAGAAATTAATATTAATTTTCATCAATCTATAATAGTATGCATTTTTTAAAAGGTATGCCTAATAATATACATAATCTTATATAGTACATGTTTTAATATTAAAGAAGTTAAACATTTTATATCTATTAAATTTTATATGTATATTACATATTTTATGGCTAATAATTTTTAAAAAAAGGCCGTTTTAAGAGACTGTGTATTACTTATGTTTCTTCTTATTATGTTTATACATAACATTATATGACTTAAAATGTTCTGAAAAAAAAAAGAGAATGAGGGCGTTTTTTTCCCCTTTTTTTTTTACTCTGAGATGGCAAATCTAAGATGGTCGATGAGAAACAGCTACTACCTTCTCACTTTTACCAAGTAGACGCATTAAAAGCAAACACTAAACATGATTCATACCATACGTATCCCCGAACACTAACGATCGAGAGAGGAGTTTTACTAATGTGAGTTATCCAGTTTTTTTTACATTTCCTAAAATAAAGGAAATAAAAAAAAAATGTTTTAAATGGTGAAGCACACAAAGTGGATGCGTGAGGGGACTAAAAAACTGGTATTTTTTCTTATTTGGCCTTATTAATGTTTTTTTTTTTTTAATTATATTCTGATTTAGATTTCCATTTAAGATTGTTTCTGTAATTTGTATTATTACTCTACATTTTGAAATCCCAAATGCTGTAGCTTCTACTATATGGTTCACCCTCATTTAATATGTTTCAAATTAAAAAAAAAAAATAATTTCATTTTATGTGTAGGCCTATATACTGTATATTGTATTGCAAATACTTCCTGAAAGAAAGCAATAAATAGATAAAAATAGATGAACCATTTTATTTCTGCTTAACACAGACAACAAACTTCATTATAACAGGATAGGAATCACAAAATGTATTAATAGATTCAAGTACGGTATCTTATTGGCAATGTTTGTAAATAAAAACTATGATATCATGACATCATTGTCTAAAGTAGAATGTAAAGAAATATATAGGCAGGAATCAAATAATAATTACGGCCATATAAAATTATTATTAGTTTCTAGTTTCCTCGTACATTTATTTTCCTGTCTTTTAAAATTTTTTTAATTTCCTTTATTTTACAAAATGTACCAAAATCTGACTAATTCGCATTCTCGATTGTTCGTGGTTGGGAATGCATATGGTGTCAATCGTGTCTAGTGCTTCTTTTATTTGCTTTCAATGTGTCTACTTGGTAAAAGTGAGAAAGTAGCTGCCTCCCATCGACCATCTTGGATTTGCCATCTTAGATTTTTTTTAAAAAGGGAAAAAATTCCCTCATTCTCTTTTTTTCCAAAACATTAAAGTCATATAATGTTATGTATAAACATAAGAATAAGAAAAAAAAAAGTGCCTCATTCTCCTTTTTTCAAAATATTAGAACGAGAAACTACTTTTTCTTTTTACTTGGCTTAATCAAGAATTAATGAAAAGTAATATTTCAAAAAATTACAAATTTGAACAAATTTCTATTGAAACCAAAATTATTCAATTCATTATATATATATATGAAATTAAAATCCATATTTAAATTAATATGGTTTAAAGATTTATTTTATTGTTTTGTTAAAACAATTACTGTATGCTCTCTCTATGTATATTAGAATCTGACATTTTGCTACCAATACAAACAACACTATAAAGTATTGGTGGACTTTCCATATTTTTGTCATTTCACAAGAATTGTCTTTGACATGGTGTTAGTAGGGGAGACATACAGATTGTAAGTTTCGATTTGAGTCTATATACAGAGATATTGAGCATGGTAGTGTATGGGTCATTGCTTTAATAGAAAGGGTTCATTAGAGAGCGTTTAAGCCTACCTATGACGATCACCATTGTATTGTTAGAAAGGTTGGGCGGCCTATTGTGTGCGTTGGTGACGTGTTAGAACTAAGGAATGTGCTGGCCATAGAAAATTAAGGCGTATATAGGAACTTAGAGTGAAGTGTTGCACTCCTTCACCTGTCGCCAGCCACTCATCCTGGTAAGTACCTATTAGCCTGTTGCTTCAACCTACTCTAAACATCATTCAGTATTAGTTTCACTTTCTATTAATATTTATTTTATCAATTTTATATATGTCTACATACAAAAGCCTAATATAATTTCCTTGTGTTGCTTAAAGGTGTAATGCTACATAAATACATAGCAACATTTTACCTGGTAGTTCCATAATTATAATTTATGATACATATGTTATCATAATATTCAGTATGCACTCCAACTGGTAGGAAGAAGTGCAGTACCATGTGGTGTAATTGACCTACAGTATTGAAGCACTACACAGGTTGAATTTTAGCAAGTAATAATAATAATAATAATTTTGGCTTATATAGCGCATTATTATTATGCTAAAGCCTCAATGCGCTTAACAGTAAAAATAGAATTCGGGAAAAAAATTAAGAAAAATACAAGTTAAAAAGGTGAGTTTTTAAAGCTGCCTTAAAATCATCAATGGAAGTTGCCTGTCGGATTGTAATAGGCAGAGCATAATAGTATTGTAATAGTGCATAAATTACAATAGGTTACAGTAGACCTCATGGATCCTATACAGTAATTAATATTGTTGTATGGAAATGTTATCCTGAAATAAATTATAGAATGAATAAATATAACCAGTATTGAAGTAAATGATAGAGTCTGGTATTATTTAGTTACAAAATATAGCAGGCATCACCAAAGTAGGATATTTCATGCAGTTGACACATTACAGTACTTTCAATAGTCTATCAAATGCTTTAAAATTTAGCAAAGCTTTTTATCATAACCGTAGCACAGTGCGATATTAACTAATTCATATATAGCGTCAGTCTATATATTGTTTATGTAAACTGTACCATATCTAAGAAAATATCAATTTTGATAGTAGTTTCTGAGTGCATGAAGGTTAAAATAATTGTATACTGCTTTTAATTGCTCTCTCAGAGCACTTTTCTAAATTATATTATGATAAACTATAGAATAGAAAAACACAATAAATGGCTGTTTTAGTGCTTGTATGCGTTGGGTCTATGAAAATTCAAATACATTTTTTTAATGGCTATTGGAATAGGTTTAAACATAGCATGCTAAATACAGAAAGCAGTTCAATTTTAAAACAAGTCTTAAAATGGCTCAACATGGCCACTACCATATTTGGTTTTTAGAGGCCAGGGAGTTCAGAATAAGGAGCAGATATTCTTCGTGTATGTACTTTAAATCTGTTTCTTTGCTCTATGAACTATTATACCATATGTTGATAACATTAAATACAAAATGTAAAGTAAAGAATTTTGTAGCTGAAGATAATTAAAACCATACTCAAGTAGGCTTATATAGTAATCATCATTGTGATTTAATAAACTCTACAGAAATATCATGATTTCTCTTTCTGTTTGTTGCATCTTGATTTCACAATCATAAACTAGTTTTTATTTTCCAATTTGAAAGTTGTTTTTAATGATTTTGAAGGGGTGTATGAATCCTAGACATGAGGTGGTGAATAATACCAAATATTTGAATTAGTTACAGTTGATGGATCTCTCTATTGTCACACCTTGAGGTTTGTGAATACTTTTCCATTGAGCTGTCTTGTAAGGTTGAGCGAATCTACAGAAATATTCTGATTGTGAATGGTTTCATTTTTTTTTCTGAATCAGTCACCTTTACATTTTATTTCCTATTAGGTTTTTTACAGTTAAAATATGAGGCACATGACGTACTACCAAAACTTGTCGGTCTATAAATAATTGGGGTGATGAGAAAAAATGGTGTGCAACCTAATATTTTATAGGCAAAATAATAATGTACTAATCATGCATTCAGTAATTACCTTGGCATCATCTATTACAGTCAATTCTCTGTCTGTTAATCATGTTTTTTATTTAAAAATTATGATTATGTTTTCACCTTTTATGTTGCTGTACTTACAAATACCTTTTGAAGCAAGTATTAATGTTTCTTTCGGAATATTTATGCTCAAATAATTAAAAAGTTTACAATTGAAAATTAATGTACATTATACATGTTTGGAATTTATTTAACAGCTTGATAATAAACAAACTTGTTTATTTTTTATTCACAGCTTCTTGGATTTAGGCTATTTTCATCACTAGTTGAGTGTCAAGAATAATATCAAAATGGTGGACGGTTGTGGTCTAAATTGTATGAAATACTTGCTTTTTGTGTTCAACTTTATAATATGGGTAAGTTTTCTCAGTTCCTTTCTTCCTTTCTTGATATTAGTTTAATCATAATCCCTCATGCTACTGATCTTACTGATCTAGCTGGCTAAAGATGGACCTAAATGCAGTAATCTTCCAAATAATACCATTTTATGAGCTTATTTCCTCATATTTTTAATTGAGTTCATTCATAGGCCTGCTAACATCCCGACACCAGCCGCGTCACCATCAGGAATTGACTATTCCCGATGATAACACAATCAATGCCGAAACACTGATTCCCGACACAATAGCAAATTATGTGTTGTGTTACGGACGTTCCGCAAAAATCTAAAATTTGCATTTCGCTTGTATGAGACGAATCCCCTCCCCCACAGCATTTTTCTATCATAATTTGCTATTTTAAGCCTTGTCTTGTATGCAAGTATATACAGTAGATCAGACAACCATTAAGAGTCATGGAAGCTAGAAGCGATTAGTGTATGCAATGTCTACCCAAGACGATTCAGCGTAAAATGGATGAAGATGATGATATTTATTACCTCCTCCAAAGGAGGTTATGTAATCGCCTCTCTCTGTCTGTCAGCAAGATGCCAAATGTCTAGGTCACAGATATTACCTTTTTTGAGCTCCCAAGCATAATAGAAATTAATTGGATATTAACCTGTCTGCATTGTTCGGTATTCAGGCACAGGGCTGAAAATAATGTAATATTGGGATTTAGCGATGGGGGTCAAGTGTCCTAAATTGGGTGTTGAATATAAACAACCTACTGACACAGCGGTGTTTTACATAGAGATTTCTATCGCGGTCGTCCCTTGTTTATTGCTGTAAAGGTCATCATGATTCCCAGTAAACTATACCAAATTGATTGGAAATTAAACTTTAAAGTTTTGCCTTAATTTTTTGCTATGCTGTAAGGATACTGGCTGCAAACATTGAGATTTTCCGACAAATGTTAGGCCTAGGCCCCTGCATATCTATGGCATGGTTACCATAGGTACGCATGATGGTCTTCGACCAGCGAACTACGCTGAGATGTTTGGGCCAGCTAAGGTTTATGATGGATCACTTAAATTTCAAAGCATGAAATCCACTAGAGAACCCTAGGATAAGTAAATAAACACTATTTTGAACAATCGTATTGCCTTTCCTAGCCATTTACTTCTCACGGTAACAGTGGGTGGTTGTTTTCACATCCACAGCATTATCTTTTCCTATGCTATCGCACTTTAATATTTTTCATGTATACCCAAGTTAGGTCACATGACCGCCTGTAAACAATCATCGCTAAATCCATCTATCACCCGTCATACATTGTTAGGTATAAAGGAACAGGGCGGATGTATGCACTCACTAGCTTGGATTCCTTGGTTTACTCTAAAAACCAATGATAATATTTATTTGTATTTTTAAATATTCTTAAATTACGTTATTGAACTTGTGATGTTCTTCACTCTAGCTCGGTGGCCTTGGCTTACTTGCTCTTGGTATAATCCTATACTTCGGAATTGAAGACTGGATTCCTATTGAAGATTTAGCGATGATACTGGACAACGACCTCTTACGGAGCAGCGCCTTCATTCTCATTGGAGCAGGTGCTCTCGTCTTTCTCCTCGCTTTCTGCGGATGTTGCGGCGCCATAATGGAAAGCAAGTGCCTCTTAGTCCTTGTGAGTATTCTTATCCATTTTGTAATATTTTAAATATAATTTTAAATAAATACATTAAATAGTTAAAAAATGTAGTAGTAAAAAACCAGTAATTATGTGTACAGTATATCTATATAAAATATCATGCTACGACCTATAAGCTTTTCAAGCCTTACCACATCTCCACTATATGTGAGAATTTCAATCAGTTGTATGAGAGAAGGTCTCTGGGGGTTATAATAATAATAATTCTGGATTTCTATAGCACCTCACTTGACACAACCTCAAGGCGCTTAACAACAACAGAGAAGAAAAACCAAAACAAATGCAAATGTACCAAAAAAAAAAAAATTATTATCAAATATTTGGTTTTAGTTTAGTTTAATTAAGTTCAAATGATTTGTTTGATGATTATCAATAAATATTATTATTACAATACTTTGGCAGTGTTCTCCCCAGGGCAATAAGCTGTAATGCCTGTTACAGCTTCATTCAGAAACAAGTTTACCGTTACACCTTAAATTTACTGATACACCTTGTATGACTAGTAAATGTTCAGTTTATCAATTGTTTATACACAAGCTCTACATACACAATTTCAAAATACGAGGGAAATGCACCTGT